ATTTGATTCTGTTCTTCTAAGGAGGGTATTGTGATTAATACCCTTTCAATAACATCTAATTAAAAAAAAGGGTGAAAGGGTGAAGGTCTTTTTCATGGTTCTGTATCAATGTACAGCACGTTGCAGTAAATCAGTGTTTTGCCATTCCTGAATATACGACTTTTTTTTATTTTGTGTTTCTGAATCCTGAAAAAAAATAGCAGGCATATGTGTAGCCTGAATCTGAGTTAAGATTTTTGATGTTAACAAAGGATTTTACCTGGCCTTAAAAAAAATAAAAAAAAAAATAAAAAGCACAAACTGCAGTCCCTGGCCAACAAGAATAGAGCTCTATGTTAATGCCACTATAAAGTATTAGCTTCACTGGGAAAATTATGTCAGTTGCTGCACAGCTGGAATTTTACTTTTATCGATTGTTCTTCAAGATGCATTTTAAATGCAAATTAATTTTATTTCATTGTAAAACTTACCGTGGAAAACATCTTAAGAAAACGTATTTGGAATTTCTAAAATATGTGCATAAAAGAATGATTCTTTATGGTTTCATGGTTATTGTCATACATATATTTTTTTCAATTTAGTCATTGTAAGTAAATATCTACCAGAATACAAAATGTAGCCATTATACAGAGACCTTTCTGCTCAATTTTCATAGTAGTGAGCAAAAGTTAGGAGGAAATAACATTAGGAGTTAGTTAGTTAGGTTAGTTAGAGGTTAGTTAGGAGTCTAGACTGAAAATAAGTAATATTGAGTTATAATCAGAGTACTAAAACATTGCAGAAATCCAGAATACTGCTGATATTGAATTTCATAAATAATAACAGAACTGGTGTGAATAGTTTTACATTTCAGGATGCCAAGAGTCCAAATGGACCATAGGATTTATCTTGTACACACTACAGAAGAAGAATCTCCATGCTGAGATGATTAACTAAAAATCTCATGAAGCTGAACAGCAAACTGCTTCAAACGGGAAGATTTTGACTGTCACAATGCAAGCAAAGAATTCCAGGGACAAATGCTTATATTTATCAGCAGCTAATTACAACAACAGATTAAATGTTAACACAATCTCATTTATTGCCAATCCCTGTAAAAGTGGAGCTAGTGTAAATGAGAATCATTAAATCAAAGGAACAACTCACCAAGCAAAATTACTTGGTCACATCTCAGTGAAATGTATCTGAGACCCTTAATTGGAGACGTCATTTTGCATGTTAATATTCAGAGGAAAGTCAGGGCTGTAGAAAAGTACTGCCAGAGTCATGAAGCCATTTTCCCCCAAAAAGTCAGTTTTACAATGATGTGGGAAATAATGAAATGAAGCAAAGCAGAAAAAGCAGAAAATGAAGGAAAGTTAATGAGTGCACTGGGCTTCTATTTCACAATCAACAACAAATACAGAAAGGGTCAACATTTATGAATTACAATTTGCAAAGATTACATGAGGTAATCAAAGATCTGGGGAAGAATAAAATATCCAAGCATTAGACAACAAAATGAAGATGAAGACACATCCATGATAGGAAAGGCTAGGGTAGAAAAAAGATAAATGCACACTGTTTAAAAATCAGTAAAATAATTTCCTGGCATATAAAGAATGAGATATCAGTAAAAGAGAAAACTGAGAAAACTCTTTAGAGACAGTTTGAGTGATTTATTGAGACTACATGATTGTGCTAAAATAATTGCTTAGTCTTTTTTATCTACATTTGTAAAAATGATTTGTTGAAAAATGCCAAATAGATATCTCTACCAGAGAAACAAAATTGAATTATAAAAGAGATTGTCAAGAAAGATAGATCCCTATACTTACATTTGGCTGTAAAGCACTGATTTAGAAACTGATGAGAGCTCCTTCAGTCTAAGATAGCATGGTGTCCAGGCAACAACATTTGCAATCCCCTACAGGAGAAGTCAAGAAGTCATTCTGACAATTGGTGTCAGAGTGCAGGATGTTCCATTTGCGTCTCTTCCTCTTTCTGCTTTGTTGACAGATAAAATTAGTGCAATTGACTCTTACCATTCCTCCATCTCTCATTTGCTATTTCTTCAAGCTGGTGGAACTCCCACAGGCCAGGGCAAGAAACTTGAGGCAGCTTCATCAGATTTTAACTGCTGCCTGATTGTGAAATTATGAGAAATATGTGTCCAAGTCCAAATTCTAAAGGAAGTTACAAGGAGAGGGTGTACTAATTTTTATGTGTTTACATATTAGACTTCTTTTCTTGAAGAAGACAAAGCATCAGTGTGGAGAACGAAAAAACATCTTTGCTGAAGGTGCAGCATCAGGGAGAAGCTCTCCACAGAGAGAGTGGTGAGGAGCTGGAACAGGCTGCCCAAAGAGGTTGTGGATGCCCTGTCCCTGGAGGTGTTCAGATTGGATGGGGCTCTGGGCAGCCTTGTCTAGTTTCAGACTGGTAGTTGGTGGCCCTGCCTGTGGCAGGGGAGTTGGAGCTTGATGATCCTTGAGGTCCCTTCCAACCTAAGCAATTCTATGACTCTATGATTTTAAGAGACAGTCAGCCAGGATAAGACTGCTTTCCAGGGTAAATGGCATTCCAGCACCAATGAAATAACAGAATCATTATAGTTGGAAAAGACCTCTAAGATCACCTAGCTCAATACATGCATCACCAAATATCTTCCAGTTTTGTTGCAAGTTGGTAGTATAACTAAGTAAATTATTACAAGCGATATTATGACACCATTTTCTACATTTTTCTGCTCAAAAAGTGTATTTGGTTATCCATTTTAATAACTTATTTAGTTAGAAGTCATCTCATGGATTTAACTGCTATTTTCCTATCTTCCTTCCCTAACCCTTCAACCTTGGGGTTTGCTTCTCTGTGTGAAAAACCCAAACATTAAGAATTAGCCTTTACTTGTTATTTTTCATTTGTACTACCTTTCTGGGTTTCACAATTGCAAGTGGACATCACTGATTCACAATTATACAAACGGAGAAAATCTTTTGTACTAAAATCCTGGAGAGCATTAATTTGGAGCAGAAAATGAAATGAAAATATGGTGCTTTTTGATTTCCAAGTTACAGTACCCAGCTACTAGACTGTATATTTTTAGTTTTAGTGACATTTTTATTTACTGTGGGCCAGAAGGCTTTCTCCTAACTTAACTCATGGCAGCACTTGCATACTTAACAGGCATTAGGAAGATTAATTTGTCTGCATTTGTAAGGCACTTTTTGAAAAAAGAATGCAATGGTCAGCATGAGTGCCAAATGCTGCTGTTATTACTGTATTTGAATCTTATGACATAAACAAGGAAATATCACAGGTTACCTTCTTTTGATTGCCTAAAAGATGCAAATTCAGGAAGGCATCAAGACTGTGCATCTGTTCTACCACAGTTCTAACACCTAACCTAGCATTTTATTTTTGCCTCTGGTATACATGAAATGCACCCTAAATATTTAATTAAAATAGTCATTCAATCATAACGATCTCCTTCATTCTAGTTAAAATGACTCCAGTCCTGGATAAGATATAACTCTGGAATAACACATGACCATAGCTTTAGACTGAGTGTTATGCAATTCTCATGCTGTTTTTTAACGAGGAGCATATTAATGGCATTGACTTCAAAGGAATTACATTGCTGTTAATAAAATGTACATCAGCTCAAACAGGTCAGACCACCAGGTGGCAGATCACTAATAGTTTTAAGCCTATTTTGGGTGTCTCATTATTTGACTTTACAACATCTTGTGAATGTTGAGAGCTAGGGTTTATTTGGAAAAACAACACTGGCTTTAAAAAAATAACAGTCTTGGAAAGAGAATGTTGAATTTCTGAAATAAATCTAAATGAAAAGGTGTCTCCTGACAGCAGTGTTTTCTATGCAATTCCTATGAGGTACATACAGTTTCACATCTGTCTGTAACTGCTCCTTATTAGCTGATTCTAGGGCATGCTACAACTACAATAAATTTGAAATGAGACTGAATTTGAAATGAGAAACAGGACCTAATAAAAAACTCTTTTTAATACTTTAGAGTGAAGAATTAAGCTGAGAGTGACGAAACACATCCATTTGAATGAACTCTTTGGTACATGCAGGGTACGTACAGCGGAGGTGCATTCTCCCTGCTGTTTGTCATTAACAGACGCACAACTAGTTACACTTAACGTGTTGAGGTTCTTTCATTTCTGTACTACCTTGCTACTTTATTATTATTGGGCAAGATAGTTAACATATATATACTGAAGTACCTTCATTCAACTTAACAGGGCTACACTAACAAATGCAAACCATATTTCCAGCTATTATCTGTCAAACAGATTAGGTCATTGCTTTTCTATAGCATAGTGTGAAAAAAGCCTCAAGTAAAAAATTCTTCCACGTGGCAGCTAAAGTACCAGGCATAGTTGATCATGATCACACAGACCTTACAGCTTCTAATCAAACCTCATCTCCTAATAGCAACAGAGCTCCTAGGGCTTTTGATGATCCTCAATTTTTAAGCAAGCAGAAAAATTTCCACAGTCCATAAATAAATGTTTTATTATTCCTGTTTCTCAAATTCCAATAATCATATCTCATTTTTGGATGCTTTTAACAGCTCAAAGAGGGCTTTAGCATGGCATTAAAAAAAAAAGAAAACAGCATGGTAGCACTCATATCTTACCTTTATTTCCATTCATAGGGGCAAGTTATGATAGACCTTGGTATCTACAACCTCCTTTTCAGCATTTTTTTCCAAAAAAACAGAGCTTCTATTCCATAAACTCGTAACTACAGCCACCAGTTTAAGTAAGCCACTGCTCTCCTTGATCTAAGGCAGCAGCAGCAAGACTTACACAGCATGCATGCCCATAAGCAGCACCCTCACAGGGGCTCGTTCTCACAGCATCCTTTTCTGTGTTGTTAGGAGCCCAGGTAGAATCACTACAATCCTGTGAAGGCTCCCACCTGCAGCCTTCACCAATACACTCTTATTTTGAAATCATTGGTTAGTGCTTCTGAGTTTTGCACTTACCTCTGTCAGTGGCATGCCATATAAACACAGTGTTTCTTCCCTCTATGCTTCAGTTTGTCCACCTGTAACATAAGGATAATGCTTATCTACCTCACCCAGTACTACTGAAATGTCATCAGTCAGTATTTCACAGTATGCTAAAATTGCAAAGTGAAAGATATTAAAGCAATTCAAAGACTGCAATGCAGTATAATGGTATATTAATCTGAGTCACCCTGTAATGGCTGCAGACCTAATTTTCTCCAAAATCAAGAACAACTGGTGAGAAAACTGGTTATTTTATATCATTACTGTTTCTCTTTTCCTGGATTTCCCTTTCATCAATTGTCCAAAGAAGGAATGGATCATCTGAATCTACTCTAATTGATTGGGCTTGTAGGCGAGCTGTGTTTGTAACCACAATAGATTGTGCTCACACATACAGCAAGTCCTCTGATCTTACTTATCAGAGATCAAAGTAAGTGAAATTTTAACAGCCTTCTCCAGAACTGATATTTCAAGCTTCACTTTCAGACTTCAAGCAAAATGCTTACAATGGTGCATCAGAAAAATAGTGAAGGTTTTGCTCAACAGCTCAAAATAAAAAGACCATTAAGCAACCTTTCACTAATGCAGAACTTATTTTTTGTCTGGAAAACTTCTAAAACTTCTCCTTTGTAACTGAATCATACCTAATATTAGTTTTGTTTTGTGAGCTGTTGGGTTCATATAGGTATACCTAAAACGGTATACGCAGCACACATAAACTTGCCGTTGTAATGACATATTTCAAACCTAGAGATTAGAATGCAGGAAAAGCATGCATTCAATTAACGAGATATAATGAAAACTTTATTCCACTAGATTTTTCTTTACACTGAAAAAAAAAAAAAAAAAAAATTACTAGGCCTGGCTGAATGTTAGAATGTGTTTTTTATGCATTGACACATACATGCCGTGCAGCTCTGCTGCACAGCTTTCAAGACTTGCTCTCCCACTCCATTTGAACACCAGAACAGAAATAGCAGCAGAAGTGGATTACAAGACCCTGGCATGCCAGGCAATGAAGTAATCCTTTTTCTTGCTCCTTGGGGAAATCCAGTGGGATTAAAAGAAAAATAATTGTCCATGTTCTTTATTAGGTTGGCAGGCATAAATCTCTGGAACAGGATCAGACATTGGCTGTCAAGGCTTTTGTGACATTGTATGATACTCCAAAACTATATAGCCGTCTCCAGGAAAGAGAATGCAACATGAAACTGTTTTTCAAAGAAAAAAAAGCCATAATTTAAAATTAGGATTTGACATAAATCCAACAGGCTGCTGTTGGATATTATGTGATGGATAAAGCTGGCCCTGTTGCATTAACAGTAAATGGATTGCTCATTTTTAAAGCAGCCATCAGAATTTGGAGTGAAGAACACATGGGCCATAATTTCTAAATTCCAAAATAGTTAATATTGTGCCATTTGTGATAAAATTAAAAGCTTGATTTGGCTAATGTTTTGAGCTACGTGATTAATTATCACCCACTTAAAAATGGAAAACTGCTTTCAAAAACTATTCTAGCTTCATTCAAATCTAAGTGGAGCTAATTATCACACAGGTTTTCAGTCATATCCAGTTTTATACACATTCCTTGTTAGAAATAAAGGAACAAGCAGCTTCCATGTCCTCAATAGCATTTTGCAAACCACAAAAACGCAGAGGAAGGTTGTTAGCATAGCGATATAACATATTCATTATATGCCAGCTGAAGTATTGCAAAGTTTGCATCTGTTGTCATGAAGATAGATTGATATTAGATAGATAGGATTCATTACAATCTAGCCTTCATTGTGCCTGCTTTCATGCTAAGTAAAGAGCTATTTCCACAACAACTACGGAGCAATTCATTTGTATCCTTTCAGAATACACAAGATCATTACCTCTGTGGCAAAACAGCCTTGTGATGGAAAGCCCTTCTAAATGATAAATTGCACATTTAAGAGATATAGTTTAGAAGGCTACAATTCCAAAATTATTCTCTCTTGTGTCCCTAGGTTGTATGTCTTGACAAACTGATGAGAGTTTTAGTTTTAGTAACTACGTTTTACTGCTGTATGTATATGTTTGTTATGTAAACAGTTTCAATAGTGCACAGACACCAAGTACGTTTAACTACAATGCACTAACCAGACACATTTGAGTTCATATGCTTAGTTGTACCATAGTCAGGAACAATACAGATATAACTTAAATACATGCTTTTAAATTTTTTTTAAAATGCAGCCCAAATCTTGGCACATTCATGATTATTTGTAGGATATTTTAAAATACATTAATAAAAAACAATAGCAAAGTTGTAGTCAATCTATGAATGAAGCTCTACTAACATAGAAGTTAAGTCAGGTGTAGTACAAGGTCTAGACAGGTAAGACTCTTGGTTTCCCCAGGCAGCCATGCCAACAGTATACTTCAATAACAACCCCAAGCCATTATCCCCTTCGTGGTTTTCTGTAAAGGTTTATAATACAAAAGGAGTTCTACTCTAAATAGACAATTTCCTTAGCAAAAAGAAAAAAATAAAGGCTTCAGAAGAATTCTGGATCAATGTTAGCACTATGAACATCCAGTCTTGGAGGATAAAATATGTTCTTGAATTGCTATTGTAAATGAGCTACACCCTCACTCATGCTTTGGCAAGAAGTCACGTAACACTGACAGAAACACACAGTAGGATTAATGCACTGCCTGGTAACATTGTACTAGCAGTTTTAATGCACTTCTAATTCTTGATGCTCATGGAGATAGTCGTCTGTATCATGGAACCTGAGCAGATTCTCCATTAAAGCTTATACATCATACTAATAATATCAGTATTATCCAACATACTGCATTCTTCTTCACAGGGACAGTAAATGACAAAAAGATCAGAAGAGCTTTTATGCAATGCAGTTTTCTTCTCTGTGCCAACACAGGACAAAGTTGTACTACCTGGCACAAGTACCCTAAGAATTTAAAAACAAAGAGCTATACAACTTGATGTACAGATGTCTTCCTTCAGCTAAAATGTCACCTGGTTTTGATGTGACTGTAGCCACTAAATGTGTCTTCACCAATGAAATATTCTGGCCTTGACCTTAAATGCAAATATAACCTCTGCAGATTTATTGCAACTTTAATCCCATTTCTTAGGATTTATGGTCAAATTCAGCCCTGACATCCGCTATCCAAACATATCAATAACAATCTTTAATATATAAGTACCTCAAACAGAAAATGAACTCTACAAGTGCCCTACACAAAATAATATTGTGTTAAAAACTGGTGTCTATAAGCCTTGGTATTGCTTGTGAACACATTTCTTCTGTGCTTACTTTTTCAGATTTTAATGTTGCAGTATTTATAGATCCTACACTAAAGTAAATACCCAGTGAAGCTTGACTTATTTGATTACCGTTAGATCTTAAATTTCTAAACAGACATAAAAAATTACTATTAGTTCCATGCTAATCATGTCACAGGTTAAATATTTAATAATACATAATATGCTGTAATTGCTGTAGAGCTCAATGGCATCCAGTAAGGCTGCTTCTTTAACATTTTTTTTTTAATTCAAATTCTTGCTAAATCATATGCAGATTACTGATGAATATCAGACAGAACTTACTTTTTTTTTTTTTTTAAACAACATCTGCACAGAGAAAACTACAAAGTTTCTTGCTTTCTGGTGAGAACCGAATCTCTGTCGTTGCATTCACTTACGCTGTACTTGAACCATGTACTTGTACCATGAAAACTACATCTCAGTCCTGGGCTGTAGGCTGGGGATATCCTCTGGTGTACTAAGTGAGCCCTGGTCTCCAATGAGTGCTGGCAGCACTGTCTACTCTAAAGTTTTCTTTGTTCTCCCTATATTTAGGAGCCAGACTCCAGTGCTTACTACAAAACGGCGCAATTAGTTTATAAATAATTATAATATATTGTACTTTGATAGATAACAGTTCCTTTAGGCGACAGAAAAAAAGCAACAGAAATTCCCAAGAGCAGCATCCTTCTGGTGATGCAGAAGCAGCCCTGCTAACAATACTATGTGGGAGGAAAGTGGCTCCAGCTGTAAATCAGCCCCTTGCTCCTCAGCAGTTCCTGCTGGAAATCTCTGAATATCTGCAGGGCAGAACTCCATAGCCTGCAGACTCCCAGCTAACAGAAAGCTCTACAAGTAGCCAGTCTTCTCCTCTCCTTAATTCTCTTGGCAAGTTCATGATTTAAGCCACTCCAATTGAAATCATCCTCCAGGCAAGAAATTTCCAGGGAATTCCCACTTCCTAATGCAACTTGGACTAAGCTAAAGGCTGCCAGACACAGACAAAAAGGAAACCTGGTGCTGCATCCCTGTCCCACAAGTGGTAGGGCTCAGCTTAGTATGGTTCCAGTGCTTTCAGCTTAAAGCAGTTCTGCTTTTAAAATGCAGCACTACTTACACTTGTTTCAGTACCTCAAATCATCCAACATCGGATAACCTAAAAACTCAGGCAAGCAAACACAGCCATCAAGATAGTTAAAAACTGCACAATCAGTTTTGAATACTAATTACAGCAATTAGACATTTGTGGAACTGCACATTGCACATGTAGCTGAAGCTAGAGCATCTGATTAGCCATGCCCTTTCAAGTTTCAGATTTCCTGAACAGATACGCATTCCAAGATGAATTATCTAAATCTAATTAAAAATTCAAAAACCATACCTCAATTATTTAAGCCTCTCTATAGAGTAACAAATGGTGCTAAAATAAAAGTTCATCAACATTTCCATCAGGAATTATGTTGTTCAAATGTGTAAAGGTAATTAAACCCATTGAAAGTGCTTTAGTTATTTATTCGCATTTTTACTAGTCTCTAATAGAAGATACACCATTCAACAGCCTAGGTGCCCTTGGCAGTCTTTTGAAGAAAGCAGTGAAAGATAATAATACCTAGCTCTTATACACTGTGCTTTCACCAGCAGACCTTGAAGTGCTTCGCAGAGGAACCAAGTCTCCTTATAGTCTTTAGCTGCAGCAAGTGAAAATCACATCTATATACAGGTACATCCTTGTTT